AATCGATTATACGCGACCGATCGTCGGCGCTCGATCAACTCAGGCGATTTCTTTCAGAGAGAACAATAAGATATCCGTGTTCTCGGTAAAGGTAGCTCTAGCGACATTATGCGCGGGAAAACTCATGGATAAATTTCGATGTAAGTCGCAAGTAATTTCCTCTATTGATCTTTCGATCAATCGCTGAGATAAAATCGCTCACCAGCTTTGTTCTACGAACAGATATCTACTCGCAAATATCTGATAGCAATGGACATATGATACATTGGAGGTTTGCCGATTATCTGAAGGAGGTCTTAGCTTTAACCGCGGCGGTCTACGAGTCTCCGTCATTCGGATATTCCGACGGTCTTGCTAACTCCATTTTTCCTACGGTATGTGCATGTGTCTAGATTGTTCTACTACGCTTGTTGTTGTTTATATACGACGTAGTGTTCTTTGAAAATGAAGGTCGCAAAGCTATTCGAGAGGGGCCGTGAAAAGTCTCCACAGTTTTCATTTATATATTTGATTTACAATTAAATTAATAAGTAATAAAATATTAATGACATTCATAATTACTTATTTAATAATTTTTAAGTAAAAAGTAGAAAATAAATTTATTTAAAACACAATTTGTAAAATTTTCTAATCTTTAGTTCAACTTGAAAGCTGATTGCAACTCGAAAAAGTTTGAAATAAATAAACTGTTGGATTATATAATATAATACTTGATATGTAATAGAACTCGAAAGTCACTGTGAACGACTTCTTGGATACGCTCATGTCAGATCCTGGACCACACTGTTTAATCTGGTTGCCATTGTATCACAGAATGGCGGCCGTGGAAACAGGTAATCTTACGCGAGATTGAAATTGAACGATGAAGTCAGAATCGATCGATGAACGAGAGCTCATTTGATCTGTGCTTTTTAGTTGCCCATCCTATTATATGCGACGCGTGTCACAAGGAGAATTTCACCGGGTTCCGATATAGGTGTCAGAAGTGTCATTCGTATCAACTGTGTCAAGACTGCTTTTGGCGCGGTAAAGTTTCAGGAACGCACAATAACGATCACGAAACGAGAGAATATAGCAGCTTCGTATGTACCGTTTTTGTTATTTATGTGTGTTCTGTAATATTTTAAATTTTGCATTTAATCTTTGATGATGTAATTTCCGACAGAAATCACCAAGCAAACAGATTGGCCATTCTCTGCGAAAGAGCTTTAGATGCGTTCCCGAAAAAGGAAAGAACAGTCTACCACGGTTCCCAGAACAACCTGAAAAAACGTTAGATTTGTCACACATAGTGTTAGTATCTTTGTCGTTTGCATAATTTGCCATCACCCGTTGTGTCTCGGCTCATGATTTTACAATTCAAATCACTACGTTCCAGCCCACCGTCACCTTTACCATCTCACAACGGTTTTCCAGATCCAGGATTTATGGCTCCCTTTGATTCAGGATCGGTGGATAGTCGCTCGACTCTGAGGAGGTAAGGTTCCGAGTGAAATTGTAATTTACGCGCAATTTATTTGCCTTTGCCGTTTGCGTGCAAACGCCATGCTTTACTTATTCCTTTTGTATATCGTCCAGTATGGACAGTTCAAGACTGGACGATGAACATAAATTAATAGCACGATATGCACAAAGGTTGGCACAAGAAGCTAGGACCATGGTAAGTCCTTTAACGTCATATATATTTTATGCTTACTACCTACACAGCCACGCGTTGTAATTTGCCTGACGTTAAAACGAGCGAGCATTCTCACTATTTTAATCTGTTAAACTTGCAAGAGCCAATTGATGAACCGTTCTATCGTTTCCACTGTCGTGGCCACTTTCTGGCACTAATATTAATTTCATAACTGCCTCGTTAACAGCCTCGTACCGCATCCAGAATGTCCCAGGCAGATCAGACAGTAAGTACGCACTGTTCAGACTATCACTGAGAATTTCGCGTCGTAGATCGTTTTACACGAGATAATATTTCTGATTGCAGGGTCGAGCACCGTCGGACGTAAATCTGACATCGTTGGATGCGTCGCGGGCGCAGCGTGAACTTATATCGCAGTTAGAGGCGAAAAACAAGGAGATAATGCGCGAGATAGCAAGGTTAAGGTATACCTGTGTCGTTTATATTCCTTTATATCAAGCCTAAACCTCAATTTCATCCTGTTGACCCATCCTAGAATCACGCATGTTCAGAACGTTCTGTTTCGCTTTATGTCACCTTGGTTGCATAGCTCGCACACTGACACAAAGAGAAACGATACATTCTTATAACATCGCCGATTAACATCAATAAATAAATTATTCGCGTTTAAATGAAGTCGTTTATATCGATCATTTTGTCGTTAATTTCTGAGAAATTGGCATACATATATACATGCTCTCATTTTTCATGTACTAATACATTCGTATTACATTAACCACACATCACAATGCTTTTAAAATGAGTCGATAAAGTGGAATATTATTATGTTGTAAAAGCATAGACGTGATATATTCCACTTTTTTGTAACGCAAGGCATCTGATAATTTCACGATAAATTTTTTCCGCTACAGAAGGCAACAGGAGATAGAAGCCGCGGGTTTAGAAAATCCGGCATTAATGTCGGAATTGCGAGCTTTGAGGCAGAGGAAGGACGAACTGGAGACGCATCTGGCGACGTTACAAGATTCTAGGAGGCAACTGATGGTACAGCTGGAGGGTTTAATGAAAATGCTGAAGGTATTTCTTGTTTGATTTTACAAGAAAATTTTTTTTTTTTTACAAGATTCAATGAGTTCCAATACAATTCTGTCTCTAAAAATGAAACCAAAGAGAGATTCAATGAAATTTATGTTTGTAACAAACAGAAGGAAAACAAAAAGAGAGTAAGTTGTTGTTTTCACATAATTAAAAATTAGCAATACAATGTGACTTACTTCGATAGAATCATCAAGCGTCGCCACGATCAACACCGAACAGTTCACCGCGAAGTACAAAGTCGCCACCTTTGCCACCTGGTGCTCTACCGAGCAGTAGATCGGCACCGCCAACTCCCGGTGGACCTTTGTCCACGACACCTCAACAACAGCAGCAGCAGCAGCAACAACAACAACAACAACAAATGCCGCAACAAATGTCTCAGAGCTATCAAAATCCCGTCCCAACAACAACAACAACAACAACAACAACAGTGGCTAACGCGCAAGGCAACGCTATGCTCGGCACGATACAGAATCCCATTCCAGATAGCTTGTCGTGCGTTGGCGGCGATGTAAGGTAGGCAAGCATGCACAAAAAGAGAATACATTAAATGAAAGGATAGAATCTTCTACGGCGCGAAAAGAACGAAGCAAGCAGAGAAAATTATAAACGGACGAATATTACGTGATACATAATTGTACACGTGATTTATAGAATAATATATTACGTAGTTAGCAAATTGTTTATTTACTTAGATATTCCGAGCGAACTTTAGAAATTTATGTACATTTTACACACACACACACACACACGCGCGCGCGCGCGTTTTAACAATGTAGGCATATAATTAAATCATGCAGCAAAATAAATATTAATTACATCGACATTCGCAAGAACATAAAATAGATATCATTTACTCACATTTATATTGAGAATAACGTCGCATTGGATTTAATTCCTCCAAATTATCGAGTAAACACTTTGTATTGTAACGGAAAATTGACTTTGAAACGTTCGGAAAGCAGATTCATCGCTTATATACGAAAATATATACTTCAATCTCTTTATTAAGAAAAGATTGATTTCACCTGTCGTAATTGTATCGCAGCAATCAGCATAGAGATATTATTGCGCAGTATACAATTACTTCACAATTAGTTAAAGAACTACTCAAATTCTCTTGCATGCGAACATAAGCAATTTCTAATTAAGCTAGTATTAAGTACAATATGGTACTAGCGCGTAATAATGAGACAGTGAGAATATAACGTGAGACGTGTTACTTAAATCGTCAGATCTATATCGACCTATAAATATATATATAGAGTAGAGATATCTGTATGTCCCGTGTCATGTCGCTTTTAACCATGTTTGAATAATTTTCTTTAAGTTTCGTTAGATTCGAGATGTAAGTTCCTCACATTAATATCCTGTTTTTAGTTTGCTATGATTATTAGTCATCTCTTCAATGTATCATTTCTTTGTGTACAGTACAAAAGCAACTGTCCCGTAAGGAGAGTACTAATGCGTTGGATATAAGTTTGACGCGTTACGAGTTACCCATCCCTCTTCTCCGCTAAGCTTGTGTAAATCATCATCCACCTTGAAAACATTGTTATTTCGTACTTATTATTTATATTGCAAGCGTTGCGATATGTAAATATACCGTTCTGCAAGTGATGTAACAATCAAAAATGCAGCAAATACTTTGATAAATTGGAGACAAAGCATTTGCAGTGCGTTCACAACTTTGCCATCGATATATTTTTGTTGAATTATCAGTATATACCATTACGAAAGACACATCAATAAATATCGTAGCTTCTCTGAAATCATGCATGTGTGTATTGTTTATAATCGATGAGTTGCTAATTTCAATTGGTAACTTCGAGATGACGCTTTTGTGCCTTGGCCGCGAATAATTATAGCGAATTGAATGTGTAAGCAAAATATACGTTAAGCAGAATGAATAATGCTTGCGCAATAAAAGAAATCGCATGCCGCAATTTTTCTTTAAAGAACTTTTGATTTGGAAGTTGCTTCGCGCCAAGAAAATAGAGATTTTCGATGTTAGGTCTGCGTTCAGGACAAACAGCTTACCGGGAAGCGGTTCCAGCAGCGCGAATAATAGTTTGGGCCGATCCCTAAGAAACGACTTACTGGTAGCTGCCGACAGCGTTACTAATGCTATGTCAACACTCGTGAGGGAATTAAATTCAGGTATGTTAAATAATAATGTGCTACAAAAACGATTAGTATCGATAATAATGATTCATCAATTGGACGTAGATACGTGAGAGAATTCGATCTAAAGACAAGAGATATATCTCAAATACAAAATGAAGAGGAAAGTATACTCTTAGATATAATGAAAGATGTCTTTGGATTTTCTAAAAGTGTTCCATTAAAACTAACACCAATAAAAATTTTGTCTGACAAATCTACGTCTAATTGTACTTATACATAGTTTTAAATAGTATAATTACATGATACCGCTCAGCCTACCACTTTCCGTTATAGTATGTTAAATTCATTACATAGTATATGCGATATGCGTTAATCTCGCAGAATATTATTATCTCACGATAAAATCGAAGGTAATCATTAAGAGGCGATAGAAGCCTTGCCGTGATTTGTACAGATCGATTCGACATTGCAAGTTTTTAGCTGTATAAAGTATAAAGTGTTAGCATCTATCGCCGTGTTTTAGCTGATGGCATGTTAGAAATACGATACGGAAGCTAACAATTTCGTTAGCGGAGCTACATAAAATGTCAAATTCGATTGTCCCGAGAGCGAGGTGAGCGATAGATAAACTGATCTGCATTCACCGTGCGTAGCATCTTTTTCTACAACAAAGATTCGTCTACTAATATATTACATTGTTTACTATTATTATTGCTATTATTTTGCTCCTGCTATTTTTATTGTTATTATTATTCTCACTACTACCATCTGACCACTGACAAATGTGTATGCCAATTAATGTTTGTTTCATGCCATTTTTATACAAGAAAGATATTTTTTCTTCAATAGCCTAGACGTTCAAAACATGCAAAATGATAAAGCAAACAGCTTCAAATCCTTTCAAGCTGGTATGCTAATCTTTCACACATATACCACATCACATTTTATTCGTCTTTAATTCGATTCCAAAGAAAAACGATACGACACGCAGAATTTTATCTTTCAACCACTTTGCCACTAACATTTATCTTTGAAATATTCTCAGTCATCGCATTAGAGCTGAATGTACAGGCATGCCACGTCGCATTTATATTCTGTCATAAAGGATCATCAAAGGATCATATAGCATGAAAGATGCTACTTTTCATTCGTTCCTAAATCGATATTCGTAGATCTGTGAGTCACTTAAGCACAGATGCTATTTATACATAAAATATTTCATTGGATATATTTGAATTTCGAACTTGAACGCACCTTTAATGTATATATTATATATGTTTATATATTCTGAAAAATCGCGTAAGTATAACATTCATTGCAGGAAGACAAATAATAAATCTCATCATTTGTTGTCAAATGTCGAGATAAATGACTTTCGCGTCTAGTTTCACGATATTCTGCATATTATGTACAATTTTCACAAATTTTTAATAATACAATAATTATATGAGAAAACTTAAAAATACAAATCTTTCGTTTCAGAAGATGCAAATACAGAAGTGTACATATGGGCCGATTAAAATTATCTACATTTTCTTCCTGCAGTTATGTTCATTTTGAAATACAGAATGTTTCTTCTTTTTGGATTGGAAAACATTCCAAAAGATAGGACTTCCTTTTCTATTTGCATATTTAAATCCCAATTTTAATCGTCTTTTCGTCAATACCATTATTTTTTCTCAAGTTTTTAATCACATTGCGAGTTGTCTTAATTTAGATTCTAAAATTTAATGATCGAGAGAAAGTGCAATAGTCTTGGGATACTGTATAATCTTCTCTATACAATGTTTATTTTGTAAAACGTTCGACGAAACTTAGCCATATTTTACTAAAAAAGAAAAAACATAACGAGAAAATGATACATAACGAGAAAATAGTGTTTTCCATGAATGAATACAAATTATACGAACTTTCCTCATTTCTTCTATTAATTATAAATTCTAAAATTAATTCGAACGAGTGGAAAATAGTCTACGTTTGCCTATTGCCATTTCTAGTCGATTCTATTATTTTCTTTCTAGAAGAGTTAGTTAACATTGTAGCCTAGTGAAATAGCACATGGACTACACTACACGCAAGATCACAAATGACAGCAACAATAATCTAATCTGCAATTTCGAGAAATCCTGAAAATTCTGGAATCGATTGCTTATTTTGCAAAAAAAAAACCTCAAAAGTTTAGGTAGATCATTTAAAAAAAAGAAACTCGTATACAAAAAATAGTTAAAAAAAAATAGTATTTCGATATAAATTCTGTATAAAACGTTTTCGCGGTGAATAAAAAGATAATTATAGATTACCGTGATTACAGTTAACCCGATGCAAAAAAAAATGATAGAGATAGACATTAATCTATGTATTTCGATAT